ACACACACACACACACACACACACACACACACACACACACACACACAGCAGTCAGACAATACGCACTCTCTTTAGAGGACCCATTAGTAATTCGAAGAGTACTCCTGTGCGCACACTCAGGCACATTGTTCCTATTCTCACCGTGGATTAAGGCAACTGAGCAGTCAAAGAAAACTGTAGCAAAATAGGCCCTAATCTCTAGAACGGCCTCCTGTTTCACTGAATGGAATGTATGCATGAATTAAATCAGGAGTAATTGATGACGCAAACCTTTCCCACGGGAGAGTTTGCCTTAGCATTCATTTAGGGAGCACGGGAGTGGTACACTGAGGTCCAATCACAATTAAAACCTGCAATAACTGATTTAATTAGTTTGAACTCTTTGGCAGACAACACGGAAACTAAAACTGCCATTAGAAAGCAATACAAAAATGGCATGTAGATATACTTTTCTGAATAAAATGACATGCTTGTGTAGACAACAACCAGTGAACTTCATGTGTCGGTTGCACCTTCGGCAATCTCACCTGTGACAGTTGCACCACCCTGCCGTTTTTAATGTCAAGGCATGCCAGTAAAGCCTCTCTCTCTTATTTGTCTGAGACCATGCATGTGTCATTGTAAATGTTGGGTTACCTGAAGGCAGATCATTCACTTATTGGGAAATAATCTGCTCCATGGGAATCTCACTGGATCAGACCAGTATTTTTGAGGTGTGAGAAATCAACTGACATTTTGCATGCATTTGCGTGTATGAACAGAGGTACACACACACACACATTGTACTTTGTGGTGGGGCAAAACCTGATAACTCTCAACTGCTCCCTCTGTAATTTGTTATTTTTGGATACAACAAAATACACAGTTAACTCTGTACGGTTACTAAAATAACCTGACCAGATCAATCAGAGCCGGCTTTTTAAAACCTACTTCATTCCAAATAAAAGCTCTTAAGTCCGAAGTGACAGTCCATGCATGTACACACTGTGTCCAAGTGTCCAGAGCATGCCTTTGTATAGTGTAGTGTGTGTGTGTGTGTGTGTAAAAAGGGGTGTGGAGGACTGACGGAAAATATAAGCCGACCACAGGAATGTCTCAGTGACTCGTGCATCAGGTTCCTCAGCCCTGACAGTGTTCTTTCATTGACACCTCTCATATACAGCCAGCGCAGGGCAGGCAGAGCAGGCAGGGCTAATGCACACCTGGTAGGAGATACAGTATATCTAAGACTAGTCCGAACTCTAAGTGTTGACAGAGCGGGGCACTCAAGCTGATATACACCAAATATTTGAAATGCTATACATACGAGGACATTCACCTCCCGGCCTCAAATCTGGACATCAATACAAAACTTAAGGCTTTTATACTAAACCCTATTTTCAACATTGAATAAAATAACTCCCTGTAATGTGACATTGTTGCTAAGAGTTATTACTGCAGTCACGATGGTTTAAGGTTACTGATTTGTCAGGTGGAGCCCCACTAGCCCCAATATAAAAATGTGGACAGCTGCTTCCTGCACACTGGCAGAGGCTGAACGCTCAACTTTCGTAGCTTTCCACTTGGCTTTAATTTAATCTTTAACCCTCAATCTAATCTTAATTCTACCTAAAACATAAAATCCTTTTCTTTACATATTAAACTACAGACTTTTTTCAGCTGTTGCCCGTCAGTCCCTGTCTGTCTGTGACAATATATGTTGATTCCTAACATTTCAGTCAGGTTCAGCACATTTTGCAGTATATAGCAGTCATGATACTGTACAGATGCTAATGTGGCATATGCTTGCAGCCACTGTTTATAGATATGATTTTGCACATAACTGCAAGCTGTTAGGTAAGCTAGGCTGTTGTGGCTATAGCCAACACACTCAGTACAAATAAACAATACTAATAGCAGTAGTGTAAAGCAGTATGAAAAGAAAGCTGAGAGACACGTCTATGTCGATACAGTAACATGATAGCCAGCAGTTGGTATGCATCAAAATCAAAGTTCTATTTCCAGAGAGTGAGTGAAGTTAAATACAAGCCATGGGGGAGGACAAGCTTCACAATAAAACATCATATACTGTATTCCAACTACCTAAACTAAGAAGTGAGCACCAACAAATGTCATGACTTTGGAAAATTGTAGTCATAATAAATCCTGTTATGGACTCTTAGTCCTCATAAATACAGGAGTGTAAATACACACACACACTCACACACACACACACACACACACACACACGCACACACACACACACACACACACACACAGGTAAGCCAGTCTACAGCAACACAGCTTCCCTCAGCCCTTTAACTGTAGCAAGGGGCCCCTGTGGCCTGCATACTTTAATAACTCAACTCACATGGTCCAAAACTCCAGGAAAGCAATGCAATACTTAATTACACCCAGTCAGACTCAAGCCAGAATGGCATTCACTCCTCCTGTTTGCCTCTCTATATGGCCTTTTGAGCTCAGGGTCTCTGACAGTATGGAGGACTGTGGGGCGAAGGACCAGGAGAAAGTATTGATACAATCATTGTTTTGACCTGTCAAAAATATTCTTTGGTTTATACTTACCTGCTCCCCGAGTCCCAAATGTGGTTGTTTGTCTTATTTTGCTAACTGCTAACTACACTGCTAACTGTACTGTATGTCATGAACTCAAGCTGTGTTTCAGTAGCTCCTCCGCAGCGTTAAACTCAAACAGAGATCAGAAAATGGAAACCTGAAAATTAAAGTAAGGCTCTCAAATATGAGATAGATTGCTTTTAGTATGGAGCTACAGGGGTAAACAACTCTGCAAAGCAGACGCATGATACCAATTTTCTGATGTGGTCATACTGAAACAGGTCTCTAATTGTAATCATAATCAGAGTTAATTGTTGGGTTTAGCATCAAGCTGCTGCGGCTTTACAATTTGCCTTCCTGCCTCCAGCAACACCATGTGTAGAACATCTTCAAAGAGAGCAGAGGGGTGGTTTGGATATATTTCTGTATTGAAGAAATGTTCTGTTACTTATATTTAAACATTTAGGGAAGTTAATGTTTGTCTCTAGATAACAACAGAGAACTCAAATTCAACAAAACAGACATTTGGCTGACACAGGATATTCGATTTATCTGTTATTTAAGGAGTGAATGAAAGCAGAAATCACTGGTGAAAAAATAAATGTGTCAGTAGAAATATATTCCTATTACGATCTTTTGTGGAAGATTACACAGTATGTTTGCATACCAGAGTACAACAGGCAGTATCATTACTGTCAAACACTCTTTGGCTTATAAGCCTCCAAAATTAGTGTACATAAAGCTCATGCCAGAAAAATAAGTGAGTCTAAAACATTTCACTTCATGTCTCAACTGAGCTTCAGGTTATGAATCCAGCTGGCCTGGAATCAAAACAGATACAGGTTTAAAGCACTGCTATTTGCAAACTACCGACTCAGTCATAAAGTAAGTGTGCAGCTCTTTCAAATACTGCAAACTCATACGTATTTCAGACCATAAACATCCGAGACATTGATTTAGCTAATAGGCCTGCTGTGGGCACTGGGACCAAGATGAAAGGCAGATAGAGGGAAAGAAGGCTAAAATATTCAGTATTAGTTTGACTCTTATAACATTATTATTAGAAAGGTTTTCTTCACTAGGTACTGCTTTTCTTGAGACTAGGGCAACATGGTTAATGTGGAACCCTCTCTAAGGCATAATTAAATATAAGCGCTGTATACTGTTGTGGCTCCTAGTTAGAAAATATCATCCTAAGATTTTGGGAAAACGTTTTTAGAGGGGGTACTCTTCATCAGGAATCTGACACAATGTTATGCACTTCTCACAAATAGAAAAAAGGTGACTGATCTAGCTGACAATGTATTTCGCCGAATACAAGCCCTTTCCAATCTGCGAGGCAGGTGTAAAGTTTTGGTCATGAAACTACAGCTGATTAATCAAAAGGCCCTATGTGCCCACATGACTGAAGCAGTTCTTCTAAATGAAAAGTGGTGCACCTCACATTTACATTTTTAAGCAGTTCACAGGGTTCATATCAACAGAAACTTATAGCAAATTTTAATTCCTAGACCATTAAAAAGTATCAATGCATCACTTTCTCATGGTATAATATAATCCACTCTGTAGATAAAGACAATATCACACACAGATTTACTCTACGACACACATCTAAAAAAAAAAAAAAAGTGTGTCAAATTTATTCTTAAGAAAATAGCTTTGTTTTTCAAGCCAGAAACCATAAATAACTGCTGCTTAAAAACAAAGGTCTCTCACCAAGTATCTCTCATCGTCTTTCATCCCTGGAGTGCGAATGAGGTGGTTCTGCTCACCCCTCCAGTCACCAAAGCGACGGAAGAAGTAGTTGGAGAGGAACCTGTTGATGGGGTCCCGGATTATGTTGATGTAGACCGGCTGCTCTATCCTGAACCTTACAAAGACAAATACAAATGTAAATAAAAAGTTAATGCCTGTACAGAATTGGAACATACATTCAGAGTTACATGGTTTCAAATGCTGTTGTTAAGCATCATTGTACATTGGTGCACTATTGTACCTGGTAAAGTTCAGGAAGTGAACATGCCGTGTGTAGAGGAATGGCTGAGAGATATTACTGATGTTCTTCAGGAGATCCACCTGAAATATACAAATAAAAACCAAAACACACACAGTTTATTTGACGTGTCTTGCAGAAATAAGTGTATAAGATACAAAATGAAAGAGCAATATGGAGCTAGATCAGTGACAATAAGTCGTGGCATTGAAAACAAAATGTGGCATCAAAAAAGCAAACAGAAGCACTAAGAAAGTTCCACTGAAAAAGCTCAGAAGCCCTCATCATCACACACAGCATTCATACGGTACAGTCTTCCGTGAGCTCACCTGGAACTCCCAAACAGCAAGTAAGTTCAGTTGTGAGTCTGTCACAGTATCTTCCATATATATGGGCAATCGTCTGAGACGCATACCGTCATGGTAGAAATCAAGCAATTACCACATGAATAGGCGATAACCAAAAGCATATGCAAGCTCCTCGCACTGTACACAGACTAACAACTGGAAGTGAGTGCACCTTACATTGAAACTTCCTAACAAACTAAATGTAGACAAAAAACAAACAGCATCCTCAGGTGTTGTCCAAACCAAGAGTTACCATGCCAAATGGTTGCATGTTTGAACTGAGCATGAATAAAATGCACTTTGGCTGTGGGTCCACCTTGATTCAATTTGCAGAATCTTCCATTACAGACCTCACAGTTTGAACCTCTGCCTTGTCTCATTCATCTAACAAGATTCAACACCGTAGATCTCTCTCTCTCTCTGTCATGTCATGCACAGGAAAGCCAACATTTTTAAAGCAATTATTCCAAGCTTCTTCTTTCTCTGCTGCTATGATTAAGAACATCCCAAAGGCTTTCCAGGTTTGCATGGAGAGGCAGGCTCACAGTAGCCAAAACAAACTTAAAGACACCACAGTAGTTCCATATTCAGTGCAGATGCCTCACATTACCTTTGACGGAAGGCCATGCAACTGAAACATAATTCTTAGTCATTCCTCTCGTGATGGAATCATTTTTTTGTGTGAGATTAAGTTCTCCCAGTCCCGTATGTAAGAAATGAGTGACTATGTAAGTCTCTGCAAGTGGAGCACATGTCTAATTAAAAACAAAATACAAATAATAATAAGCAAAATCTGTGAAATTGACGGAAATATTTCATTTTGTTTGGAGTCGCAAGAAAATGTCTGACTATTTAAAAGCAGACTCATTCAATTGAATTCACAAGTGCTTCTAATGGACTTCTGCCAGACTATACAGATTGAGACATAACAATGACAGGCCAAGTGCTAGAGGTTTGAGAGAGCAGACGTTTGGTTCCCCCCAATTTTGTGAGACCCATTTTTCCTTTTTTTAATGTTATTTCTATTTTTTCTCTCCTTTATCTCCACTATTTGGAATGACGTTTTCAACCCTACTGTGGTCCTTATGTCCCAGCCAATTCCACTACTGGTATGGGGAATGTGTAGACAGCCAACGTGCCACTTCTACCTCCGTGACACATGTTGTCGCCAGACGCTGCATTTCTCTTGCCAGTAAAAAAATGCAATGGTCAACAATTTCTTTCATCCTATTCCCAACATCCTATACTTCATACTGCAGGCCCCCTGACCAACAAGCAAAGGCAAGGACATAAAGATCCCTCACTGTTTCCCCACCAGAAAGCACTAGGGATTGTGCTAATCGGAATAGACAACCAAGCTGGAACTACTGCTAATGTGAATTAAAACCTCTCCACAGTGGTGAGTGTATGCCTTGTCCCTGCAGCACCTGTGTAGCCTGACCCATCAGTTTTAAGCAGATGATGAGTCCTCCACATGAGTAGTTGAAAGGTGGAAGTTTAAAAGGAATAACACAAAGAAACAATGAACAACAGCTGAACACTGCAGATGGGGAATTAAATGAGTCCTTCTTCTACCCAGACAGTAACACACTGGTCAAAGTCAGAACCAAACTGGAGACCGGGACACAAGGCAAAGAAGGCATACACGTGGAGAAACAAAAGAGGAGGAGGCTTTAACATCTCATATTTAGGTAGCTCTCAAATACTCCTTATTGATCCAGATGCTGTTATAGCTATATCATGAAAAAGGAAAATATTGCTACATCAGAATGTAATATATAAATGTCAATGGAAGAGAAATAATAAATCAATACATTTTTTGGGCTTCTAGACATGGGAAATGGGCAGGAAGTGACAGAAGAAAAGGCCTTGAATGAATAATTCGGGCCTGGTATGGATGCAGGACCTGTGTACACGGCAGGCAGTCCAAGCAAGTGAAAAAGTCTACCCTGAAGAAGTGCAGGGAGTGTGATGTGGTCTCTGTGTCATTGCAGACAAACTAACTTTTTAGACAAAAAAAAAAAAAATGAATATATTTTGATCTGTGTTGGCTACAATGTATATTTTGAAGTACTAGAGGAACACATTTCAAAAGCCAAAAGTTGAACTTGTTCATCATTTTGCCATGTGTGATTTGTATAAATATCTGTGGGAATCAACCTCTGTTTTTAGCTTTTCCTTTTGTATTCATAGTCATATAACTATTGATACATTCATGTGAAATCACTGCAGAATACATATTCTGATAGCCGTTCTCAAAAAAAGATGCAAATAATGTGATTGTGCATTACAGTGTTGAAGTTACACATGAACAATCACTAAAGGAGAGTGAGCGCACCAAAAGCAGGTGAAAGTGGCTTCGACCTGAGAGGGTTGACTGAATCATTTTTTATGTGAAGATCTTTTGCGCTAAGTGCATCGATCAGCTGAGGGACTGAATGTCCTGCTGTCATAAACGATGTAAAGGCACCTGTTGCGTCACAGCAAGACTATTTGGACAGCAGCAGTAATATGTATACTTGTTTATGTACACAGAAAAGTTAATCTGAGGCCCCAGTCAAATGTGGGTTCAATACCCTCCTTCTCCTGTAGAAACTCAGTACATTTCCACTCACTCTGCTTCCACTTTCTGTGGACCTGCTATAAAATGTAAAAACTTTCATTTAGCTTTAAAAATGAATTCACCGCTCTGGGTCCCTCCTGCATGCTCTGTCTCTACTAATCCATTTCAATTCTACATAAAAAAGTGTATTATCCCCACACTGCCCCCTCGGCCATTAGTCCAGACCAATTAGCCCAGAGCTAACCCCTGACGCCCCCTCCCCCACACCCAGGTTGATGTGCAGACCCGGAACACATTTGGCACATTTGGTGAGTTTGTGAGTATGTGTGTGTGTGTTTTCTGACCCACCCCTGTGGTCTGTCTGGCCAGACCCCCTTTCATTTACCAGGGAGAGCTGCAGGGAGACAGAGGGAAAGTGGAGGACAGTCTGAGATTCCAGGCATACCTGCAGCCCCCCCGCCCCCCTCCTTCCTGAGCACCCGTGGAACCCTCACTGGGCTCATCAGGGGAAACGGAGGAAGAGCCAAAAACTGCAGAAAGCTACACTGATCTGCATCTAACTAAATTGAATTTGCCTCTGTGTAAGCCTAAATAATCAACACCTGTGTTAGAGACAAATATGGAGGCCAGACATTATAGAAAATGATTCCAGGAGGATCAGTCCAGACATTACCGCAACGTCTCATACAACGCTTTTGTATCTGCTGGAAAAGTTGTGAAGATAAAATAAGATAAAACAATCCTTTATTAGTCCCGCAGTGGGGAAGTTTACAGGATTACAGCAGCATAGTGGACAGTGCAAACAAGATACATAGTAAAAAAACAAGATCAAAACAAGCATTATAAATAAGTAAATAAGTATTAAACAGTAAAGAATACTAACTACGTTATACAGTACACAGGAGGTGAGAGGTATTCTCCAAAATAAAAAACCTCATTTAAAAAAAAAAAGAGGCTCATTTGCTTACTTTGCAAAAAAATTGAAATTGGTTTATCCAATTCTATAGCTTCAAACTGTTGCTTCGAGTGTAGCGGGTGAGATGCTACGAGGGAATAACTGTTTACAATCTTTGTTTGAACTGGGGCTAGTCACTTTTCTGTGTTTGCGTATCTGTGGCTGTGATGCACATACACAGGGTTCACGACTGGAGAGCAACTGTCTGCTGGTTAATGTTTTTGGTAAGAGGGCGGAAACAGGATCCCACATGAACGCAGACCCACTTCCAGCAAAGATGCTGTCTTTCTGTTTCTGGAGATTTTTAAGGTGGAATTTTATTTTACCCTCAGGAAATGTCTTAAACCTCTCTCTCCCCCTCAGCCTGTTGCCCCTGTTCTGAAAGGGACAGATGGGTCACTATCCGCCATAAATCTGCAGAAGCTCTGCAAAGTTCCAGACGAATAAGGCCCCTTCACTTTTTGGCAACCCACACACAAGGCATCAACAGCCGGGCAAACCCATTAGTGGACTACTGGGAGAGCCAGAAGGAAAAAGGTCCAAAAGCAGCAGTCTCCAGCCAGAACCACAACTGATGAGACCGGCTTGTCTAAACTTAGGTGACACGCGTCTGGATCTGCATAGGTCAACACACGCAGAAGTACACACGCAAATAAACACACAGAGACGGAGCTACACTTTACAGAATCACACACAAACACCAGCACAGGCGTACACTCTTAAACAGACCCACCCCTTGCACAGACACTGGAATGCACAAACTCTTTCTGAGGAGCATCGCTTGGGATCATTCACAGAGACGTGTTATGTCCAAAGAATGAACGAGTCTAATGCTGTTCTGCCACTGTGTGTGCAGCCAGCGTTTCAGGGTTTTGATGAATGGATAAACAAGTAGCTGTTTCAATATTGACTTCACGTTAACATCAAATCGGTCATTAATGGTTAGACATATTTAGCATCTGCTGACCATGCAAAAGTGGTTAGCAGTAGCTTATCCCTAAAGGATTCTGTCAATAACATCATATGAGGATATGAGTCATCTCTGCAATACTCCCACACAAACACACAGTGAAGTCACCTTCTCACCCAGATGACCAACCCCTGTGGTCATCTGTGGTCAAAATTGCATCAGTGGGAAATGTCATGAGCAGAAGTGCATATGAGGTTCCTAACAAGATCAAATAGTTCTGCCTTCGCTGCTACTGAAAAACTTTGACATCAATCTGGAAATTCTTTTCTCTCCACCCCATCAAGGAATGTTGACAGTCAGGGTACCTGGAGCATGCTTGCACAACTTCAGTAGTGGAAAGCAACAAAGTACGTTTACCCAAGTACTGTATTTCAGTACAATCTTAGGGTACAAGTCTTATTCCTGAGTGTCTCCAACTTATGAGAAAATATCAACCATTTTTATTAGTAAATGTTGTTTTTTCTCAATAGTAACAATCCAATAACGTTGAGGTTAGAGTTATGAATGCATTTACACAGGTAAAAACACAACAACGTAACACACTTATAGAAAAACAGGATTGTGTTGGTGAGATTATTATACCATATAAACATATTTTAGCCTAAAAGGGGCCATTGTTATTTTTGGGTGCTTTTACTTTGAATATTTGGGTGCATTTTGCTGATAGTGCTTCTGTACTTCTACCTGTATCAACATTTGCTTAGAATTTCACTTGTGGTGGAGTGTTATCTGTACTTTTATTTAAGGTCTGAATACTAATGTACCATTGGATTGCTGTTTAATTACATTTCAGTACAGCTGTTACTCTCACAGTAAACTAAATTGAACTCATGTGGTCAAGGCCAGGTCTCTGTGAGCTATCCTGCCAAAATCAGGGCTTTTTTTTGGAACTAAAGTTTGGAGTCCTGTTTACATCAGTAACTGTTTATTGATGGGAGGCCCGGTGAATCAGATTGTAGTTAGAAAAATCTTTTATTTACATTATATATTTGTATATTTATTAATGAAAACAGGGATTAGTGAATAACGTCTTTAGAAAAAGGTTAGGTCTGCACAAAAAATATTAACGCCATTTAGATATGCTTCATGCACATTAGCATTTGCGTTGGCATTCCCACTGGCAGAGGCCAGCTCTTTTTAGAGTCTCAAAAGGCTGCGGTATTTTAAACGAAAGCAGTTTTCCTCTGTAAAGTCAACACTTGTGTCCTCGACATATTCCAGGAAGTAATAAAAGGAGATCCCCTATTCGTCAGCCTTGTTCTCACAATGAATGAAAGACAAACACAGAAGAGCTCTTGCTGCTGTTCTGTGTTCACTGTGACCACAAAGTTAAGTGCAAAATATTAATCAATTAATTTTTTTTTCCAAATACAGTAAGTGTTACCTACCATATACTGGGGAGTTTTTTTTTTTTTCAACATTTGACAACAGCAGCTTCTTTGAATATCTGGTTGCTCAAGTGATATGGACCTTGCTGAATATTTATATAGAAATGATGAATGCATAAAATAGCGGCTTCAGAAGTGAGATCTGAAAACCACAGGGTTTCACAGGGGCCCACAGATGTAAGCAGCAATGATAAAAATGACTGAGCATATGACGATGTAAAAAATGTCAAGCCCCATTTTCTTATGTTATTAACTGGAAGTGTAACAATTCATCATGTCAATCACCCAATGGATAAATGACAAAATATCATGAAACCTCTGACCCCGTTTCTTCACCTTGATCGAATCTTTAAATCATCTGCTTTATCTTACCTGCTCATGTTTTGTGAGGCGTGTTTTATTGTGGATATCAGAGGAGACCAGGTTGAACTGATGTTTTTCAGCCAGTAATCTCAGCAAGATGACCACCGTCCGGCTGCCGCACTTCCCCACACGGTTATAAACCACCTGGCTGGGGAACGGGAGCACCTGCCAAACACACACAGAAAAAACATGAAGAGAAAGAAAGAAAAAAGAAACAGTGATACAAAGATTGAGCTGAACTGTTTCTTCTTGTATGTTAAAGAAGATATTGTTTGTTGTATGTTAAGATGCTGTTTGCTGATGTGTTTTCTGATTATATAGAATGTATCTACATGTCTTAGGGCACCAGTGTGTGGAACAAAACTGGCCATAAAAAATGGTAAAGGAAAAGACACCAAGTGTGAAATAAATCTAAAAGGAAATTCATTAAGCTCTGGCTGGAGCCTCTTTTCCTTTGACCTTTGACCTTCTGTTTCTCGCATCTCTTCTCCCTGGGGGCTGGACTCAATTGACCCTGCAACGTATTTCCTTTCACTGACGAAACACACACACAGATTGAGAGCAGACATGCGCGGTTTCATCTTCTCTATTCGATGCTTATTTCCTCCGCTGAACTCAATGAGTCAGATATTCTGGTGACTTCACTGCAAAGCAACTCTGTAATGTTTTATCACACACACATACTCACACACAAACACACAGTACACACACACACACACACACACACACACGCATGTACACACCTCATGACTCACCAATTAAACAAGAAGCTCAGCCATGATTCAGAGACTCAAATAAAGTGGAAATGAGGCATGTGACAGTAAATCTTTGCTTCCAAAGGAAGAGGAAGTTGAGGCTGACATGCGTATTGAACATGAGACTCATTTTAGCACAAGGGCAGCAAGAATGCATTAATTTGGCAATTATCCCTAAGGGCCTACAAGGTTTACACAAGTGGCCCCTTAAGAATGAAGGCTATCCAAGCGAATGTACCAGTGAGAATGAGAGGGACCAAAAACTGGGGCCTGTTAAAGGAATTAAGGAGAGAATGAGACAGAGGGAGACAGGTCACTTAAAAGCCATCTGGAAGATTTCCTTTTCGAGTAAATGTGATAGAGATCTACCACAAAAACAGCAGAGGCAGATCAGTTCTGTGTTGCCCTTGAAAACCCTACTTCCTCATCACTTCAAATAAAGCTTTCCTGTAAATCAGATGGGGGGGAGGGGGGGGGAATACGGCTGTGATAAATTCTTGTCGGCATTCCCAGTCTGGAATGGTGATTGTGCATTTCCCAGGAGGGCTTTCTGGATATCTGACACACTGTGTTTTTGGAAGCTAGTCTGACTGACTAAATTAACTAGCTCACTGGCTCATGAGCTGGCTAGTTTATGAACAAATTGGCTAGTTTGATAAAATTATCATGAATCTTCCATTAATCTCAGGGCTCTTTAGCTCTAGTGCTGCCTACAGTAGTGTCCACACCATACGTATGCGCTCAGCAGGGCCAAACACACACTTGCTGATTTTGTCTTTCCTCCAAAAGCAGCAGTCCCACCCAGGCTTTGTAAAAACAGCGAGAGCCTCTTTTCATGTTTGCCAGAGGCAAGAAAGAAGAAAGAGAAAGCAACAACAGGATGGACAGCAAAGGAGTCAAGGAGAAAGAAAGAGATGAAGAGGGTGATCTTGTTAATTACAGTTTCGGTCTGATGACAGGCCATCACTATATTGCCACCACTAACTGTTTGTTAATCCTAGAATTAGAGTATTTTTCGTTGGAGTCTGAACCTGTTTGACACATTTGGGAAATAAGATGCGTGGGTTTCTCCCAGGATGAGTAAGAAAGTACTGGGGAAAACAATTCACAAATGAAGTCTGTGCTTGTACAAACTTCTACAAGTTTGTTGACGGGCGTGCTTCAGCTTGTGTCACTTGCTGGAACTTTGTTGTCACATATCGTAAAGCAATCTCATATATCAGATATAGTTTTGAAAAACAAACACTAAAAACGAAAAAAGATCAATAGTTGCAATTTTCACAGAATATGTTGAACAGTTAGGAGGTTCTCTTGGACAGCGGTCCAACATTCCTTAGTGTTTGCCAAGTAACTACAGACTTCTCAGCTTATCACAACAATGAGCCGAATGAAATACATGCAGTGTTTAGCAGGACATCATTCCCCGCTGATATGATGACAAATGACTGTGTCAGACCTCTAACAGCCTGGTGTTGTATAACACAAGAATAACATCAGAGATGGTATCAAAAGTCAGAATCTCCCGTCGGCACTGACAGCAGTGAAAGGGCGACCTTTCAGTTTGTGCTATTGTTGTTCCCGCTCTGTGGAGCTAAGATTTCTGACGCACGCTGTAAGAATTGTTCGCAGTGTCTGCCAGTAAGGGAATCTGTCAATAGTCGATCCACGGTGTAAAAAAGTATTATATAAGAGAGCTGTGTTCCACCGTGTCTGATCCGGGCGCTCCTACTCCAGAGAGGCAGACTGTTGTCGTGGTATTTACAGCACTGATGCTGGCGAGCCCATATCAAGCAGACATTGAGGAGATGAGTAGTCCTGCACCTTTCCATCTCTTTCACGCTGTCTCTTCCACTCTCTCTCTCTCCTCTTACTTTCTCAGTGTCCTTTCATTTCTAACACCCTGCCCACACACTTGCACTAAAACCTCCAAACGCTTCACCCTGTCTCGAGACATTTTCAAAGCGTGACATTGGTTCAACAAACACACATAACTACTATCGTCTCTGCCTCATGGCCTGACCGCCCATTTCCGCTACCTCCAATCACATAGCAGCAATTTTGAGAACATGTACTGGTTTGTCACATGTCAGAACCACCGCACACACACACACACGTACACACACATCGTCCTGCTGCAGTTCCTGGAATAACACACATCAGTACGTCACCGCTAACCCGCGTAAGCTGTTTTTAGTTAGCCCTGCTCTGGGTACATTGCTCTCTACTGTCAACTGTTCATCCCACACTGAGTGGAGAACAGCATGTTAAGGTTTCAGTCAGGGCTCAGCAAAGATTCTCGGCACTTCCTGTAATTAATGATCTATCCATTCATCTCCACTCCCACCCGAAGAGGGAGCGAGGGAGTCTCACTGCTCTAAGTAGTTGTGACAGTGGCATTTCCATCCAAGTATGTTTATGAGAATTAAGACGAATGGATTTTCAATGGCGGAGAGCAAATGGGGAAACTTCGACTCCTTACGCTCCTTTGCACTTGTTGAATACAGAAACTTCATGTGTGTGACAAATGAAGATCGAAATGCTTTGGTTGAAGAACCAATAATCCGCCAAGCTTGCAGGAACATTGGTTTGTGCATTAGAATATTTCTGAGAGCAAATCTCTTTTGTTTTGCCTCATGGTTTCACTAAATATGGAAAATCACAACATCATCGAAACTTCTCAAACATACTCAAATATTTAGGGACTCTTCAAAGACATTTGAGCCTCACTATTGCTTTTTCTTTCTTTGTGTCAGAATTCATCTCATCAACCTTTTTTTAAATTTCAACATGCAATTGCGGCTATAAACTGTTCTTCTTAATAATTAGTGTAATTAAAGAATTGAGAACAAAATATGTGATATTAAGAAGCACGTTTTACACACCTGTAAAAATGTAGAGGGTACATTTATGCCATGTTTCCATACACACATAGACTCATAACTCTATTCTGAGAGCTGCGTGGTTTTTCCATACGCTCTCATTTACGTTGTGCTTTTCAACTCAATTTCTAATCTTTCCCTTCATTCACCAGAACCTCTGTGTGCACACGCTGCAACACGACCGACCTCTGCTGACATGGAAGATCAATCTCAGCTGCAGCAGGACATCAACGAAAACATAATGAGAGTTGTGGTTGATGTAGCGCTTGCCACTGACATGGCATTAGCATTATCTGTCTGGGAGATGAGATGACGACATATATGGAATCAACCAAAGTTAGCAGCTAAAGTATAATCACAGTCAGCCTTGTCTGTGTCTATGGTAGCTGGATGAAGTTTGTAAAGCTTCAATTTCAAAGTCATACAACCAGAATAGTTTATTAATTTCAAACTTCAGGAACTTGGTCGGACTTCCACAAAAATAATAGCGCAATACATCTTTTATAATGTATCATTTATTAACTATAACAACTTCAACTCACATTTAGTTAACTGGTTGATAATGTGGCATTTGCATCTTTGCTAAACCTCCTTTACTGCCTAGGCTCTTTTAGGAGAACGTTCCCTGTATTTAAAATGATAGATTAAATTATACAGCAAATGTCAAGAGTTTTTTCAGCCCTGATTCGTGTCTGCAGCTCTTCAGGCCGTGTAGAGCCCCAACAAGCTCCACCAGGGTGCTCGAGTCTCTTATTTGAAATCTCCTCACTCCTCGATTGAACCGGAAGTTGCTCTGGTCCACCATCTCGAAGGCCGTCTCCAAGCTCTTTTTCCTGCTCTGAGGAGAAAGGATCTAGGAGCCATCTCTAAGGAGCCACGAACAAGGCCATACGAGAGCAGCCTTCACAAAAGTCTTTTAAAACGGCCGCTGCAGGCGATCGGACTGATCTGATGCATCTCAAAATCAAGTTCATGCTGAAGTTTACAGTAATATCGGAGTGAAGACAGATCACAGATTAAATTTAAGTGTAGGCCTATCACTCCCAAGTTTTCTATTCTATTTGTTTTCTGATCCACCATCTCGTTTATTTATTGTCATTTCCATTCAGTCACGTGAGGCTGATAATTCCTGAGGTCAGGTTTGATATGAGTGTTCCCCTGAAACATTTAGCCTATCATTTCCACCGTTCCAAAGAGACCATAATCAGATTCTGGGCTGTTAAATGATGAATTCACAATCAGAATATGAATAAATACAGACGCAAACAATGAATAACAAGTATAAACACATTCTGCTGTAGAAATGCCTCTAAGCAGGACACAGCACACAGTATAAACAAAGAATGCCTGTTGTTATTCATGTGCAGGTGTTTGTTGAACAGGTAACAGGCTACAGACAGAAAACACTGCTGCTCTGGCAGGGATAACTGCCTTTATAAGTATTGTTAGTATGTGTGTGTGCAGACACAAACTCCATCAATAGTTTCTACAGCTGTTAAAGAAGATCACAGCTGGATCAGCCGTCATCAGAAGCTGAGGAAAAGACGTCTCGTTTCTGTAAAAAACGTATTTCCTCGTTTCTTCTCTTTCGAAGCATCCCCAGTGGGATCGACAAAGACGAGTCGTAAATGAGGGAAACGATGCAATTTAAGACTTGGGATGCACCCACACCAGTCTCGGGATAGGAGAACCAGTACTATAAGAAGCCTGAGAGAATACAACCTGGGGCAAAAAAGTCCATAAAACACAAGTTGCTGCTCGTAAAGCCTTTTTTTGCGAGCCAACAGTAATAACTGGAGGTGATCCAGATGGCTGTATCAACAGTTTTATCAACTCAGAGTGATATTGAGTACAAATCTCTGATGTGATGAATGTCTGCTTACATTACCAAACAAAATTTAGAAAGGAACATGTTTTCATTAAAAATTCATAAAGTAAAATCATCTTTTTCAGTCCCTTCCATTAAAATCACACTTTTCTGTGTCAAAATGAATTCCAGCGCTTCTGTGTTTGTATAATAATGTAAATTTCCTCGGGACCCAGTCAAGCTGTTACAATCTCAGCTTTATCTTCGATGCAAAACGGTGGAAACTATTTTTGATTTATTAGACTTCACTTTCAATAAATTTCTACACGTCCATATAATATTGAATGCTCGGCAATGGCAGTGTTTATAAAGTAAACCGGCATTGTGAGCTTGTAATTGAAACAGAAACGTTTGTTTCAGATCAAAAATAAAACTGGTATCGAGAAAGTTCCAACAACTTCTCCACGGCGTTCAATTCAGCCGCAGTTTGTTTCACTATGATCTGTATGAAACAAGCGCTGTGGTTGCCTGGTGTGGCTTGGTGGCCAGAACAGACTTTTCAAAGTAAACACATAACTCACAAACAAAGCCCAGATGTGACCTAACTGAACAGCTGCTCACATACGCCACAAACTAACCTGTAACCAAATGTTTACATGCTAAATGTTATGCCCGAAACCAGGACAAACACTGACTCTTCGATCAGAACTGGAGAAAAAAAGAATGACGAATAGGTGAGCGAAAAAAGTGAGAAATGAGGTGAAAATAAGGTGGTGATTGATTCAAGAAGGAGATAATAAACAAGGGGCAGACAGAGGAAGAAAGAAGTTGGCAGGGAGAGAAAGAAGGAGCATGGAGGAGAGATGGTCATGCAGACGTGCAGCTGGATGAATACAAGGCCTCTGTGTCAGCGCTGTGTGTGTGTGTGTGAGAGGGAGAGAGAGAGAGATTTCAGAGCACTACTGTAGCACTGAAGCCAGGTCTAGTTGGTATTTAGAGAGAGTTTGCACGCAGATCATTCACACAGACCTAACCCTTATCCTGACTGGACTGAACTGGCTTGGAAACACAGGGCAGCACATCAGAGAGAGTTAGAGAGGTAGGAAAGAAATCAAAGTTTAAAAAAGGGGGAAACTGCAGATAAGAGAGGAAGAGGGCTGTAACGGGAAATAACGTAGAGAGATAAGAGGAAGACTTACTCTTGGAGCAGGAGGTCTGTTGTCATCCAGATATGTGGATTCACCTGCAGAGACAACAATGTTAAGGTGTTAGGATTCTGACATACATCTTGTAACCACTTTCCATTCACAGAGACCAGAAGACTCAAAATATCATAACTAAAAAGAATGACTGGGCATCAGAATCAGCTACTTTGCATCAGCGTGATAGCTGCAAGAAGCAGGAATTTCAACTAAGGATGCACCGATTTGACTTTTTCATTCACGGTACAGATGTGATACCAGTGTTTAATGAATGTATCGATTACTCCCTTATGAAAATAAGGTATTTTTTAGATACCGGTGGCTCTTAAACTCTTCCATGTCCCCCTTTGGAAACAAGACGAGATTGCATTTCCCAACCATCTTAAAATTAACTTTGTTTCACAGCATTTATTTGGAAATTAGTAACACAAGTCAACTTCAATGCAATTTTATTGGAATATAATTATGACATGTTTTTTTTTTATGAGCTTCACTTGTATTTCTTCTCTTGTATCTTGAAACGGTCTGAGTAGATATTGCTGTTTTTTTATTGTGCCCACATTAATCAGATTCATCTAACTTTAGTTCCTCTCCACATGTTCCCCCTTGCCACACCAAGAGGCTGCACTAAACAACAGGTGGCACTTCACTTAAAAACCCATGCCCCAACACAACAAAACCCACAGAAAACAACGGAACTCTTCTACATTAAGACTGAGGGTGTCACGAACGGAGTTACAAAGTCTTTACACAGTATATCGAACACCGTGAAGCTGTTTTATGAGGAAACGATGGAGCTCATTGAAGGCTCCCCCACACTTAGGATATGTGCCTGTTTTTCTGCCCCCTCTCCAAATCCAGGCCCTGGCTTCAGACAGCGGCCTTTTCTTTGATTCATCCGGAGACCTATTGCTTCCCATCACATTTACAACATGCAGGTGGCTCGCCCAGGAGAGAGGGAGGATGACAAATTGGAGAGCGTGGGGGGGGAGTGTAAGGCTATAAAGAGAAGAAATATTACACAAGAGAACAATCTCTCCTTGTGTCTGAGAAATGTGATCCAACACACAGATGAAAATAGCAAGAAGTGATGCATGAACACACACTGTTTATAACCAGACAAGGTTTCCCACTTGGCACACACTTATGTTATGCTTTTCTATGCTTGTCCTGGAAGTGCATTGCATAACTTCGTAAGTACTGTTTACACTTAAGATAGTGGTGTGTAAGCTTTGAATAATTAGCCTGACACTAAGGTCCAATCTGCCTCTGTTTGGCTCTGTTGCAATATCACAAACACGTTCACACCCTAAAGTTAATGTAGAACCTGGCTGACTTATGTGTGTTGTGGCTCATTGAGTCATCAGGAGCTGGATGTGGAACTACTGACACAGCCGCACTATTCTCACCTTCGGGGTGTTTTTTTTAGACTTGATCTATCTTTGCATATGGCTATTTCTCTCTTTTATGACTTAACGCAGTTTTCCTGAGGAATGCTGCGGAAGGTTTGCAGCATTTGAGGTCATGGCAGGGCGAGAATGCAGTGAGGCAAACATCTCTGTTCTGTCATCCATCATAGATAACAGCCCCCCCCCCACCACGACGGGATTGGAACTAATGTTTTCCAGGGAACGATGCTTGTTAAAGCTGACAGCTGCCCTGCGCCCCCACCCCCTACAGAGAGAGGAAAATTAACTTAATAAGTAACTTTATCGACCCCATTGTCCAATTGCTCCAGTGTTAAAAGGCAATGAAATTCAGATATATTGGCTTGAACAAGAAATATTTCAATTGCAAAACTGAAAAAAAAAACAGGCCACAAAAACATGATCCTGAACTTTGTGGCAGCTGCATTTTGTATATTTTCAGTGTTTACTTAATCTATTACCAATCTATGGTTTGATAACTATGACTTCATTCTGCCCCCTACACTGCTCCATCTGTTCCTACAAATACACAGGAATAACCTAATAATGTACTTAACATGACACAAATACAGATGATCCTTCAGGATATAGGGTTTCTCTGAATGGTTGGATAAGTATGAAAATGATGTGAATCTTATAATACGCAAGGGTGGATTATTGAACCGGTCCGGACAAGAAATAGTCTGGCATATATAACTGGTAAAGGTGGATCTGGAAAAGGATTAAGCCTCTATTCATCCCTAGGATGAGGAAAACAGTTTTAATTGCCAACAATACTTATTTTAAACCAAAACACAACCTTTTCCTAAACCTAACCAAGTAGCTTTGTTGCGCATTGTTGGGATCTGACCCTGCTCTCCTGGCTGGCTGAGACCTTCACACGTGCTTTTCAAACAAAGGAGCAGCCATGTTCCTTCCTTTCACCAAAACGCCTGACCTGGGGTCTGCAAGAAACCTCATGCCGGATGACCACACCACCCCAGCTCCAGCAGAAACCTGATGCTGGTCCCTCATTGGCCAAGAAAGGGCCCCCCACTGGTTGTGCCACCTGGTTTATAAGCCTGAGCACAGCTAGAATTCTTCCTCTTCCGTCCAGACACCGCTGGTGTAAGGAGATCCACAAGGCCCTCTTCACTCCGGACACGCGCTGGTGTCAGGAGGTCCACAAGGCCTCTTCACTCCGGACTCGTCCAGGGGACAAGAAGATCCACGAGGAACCGCGGCCTCATCAAATCCTATCAGGTCACATGTAACATTCGCTGGTCGAACAGACTGTGTTTTATTTTGAGTTTTGGATCCTGTAGTGCGAGAACGGATAACTCCTATGCCCCGTTCTCCCACTCTTTTTGTGTACAGAAGGTAACAATCTTTCCTCGCCGAAGATTTCCGGGAAGGACGACCCAAACCTCGTCCCTCAGCCGAAGTTAAAAAGCCCCTCTCTGCAGCGAGGAGGCCGAGTCTGCGCCAGCCAACCCCGAGGCCGCGCCACCGAGAGCCAGCGGCTGCTCGAGGACCGAGTGATTCCTACCACTGGAAACAGACCCTACCGAACGAAGCTTCTACAAGTAAGAGTTACTGGTATCTGGGCCTAGCTTAGCTTAGCATTAGCTTAATTTAGCCTATTCGTTATGTCGTTGTTATTCCTGTTACTTGTTACGTTAAGTTACTGTCGTGTTATAACGTGTTATTGCGCAAGCATCGCGGACCACGGAGTCCCGTTATATTGTGTATTTCCTGCTGTAACTGTTTGCATTAGATCCGTCGCTGCTAGTGGATGTGGAGGCTGTGATTTTATCACTTCAAAGACCAAAACCACGGCGGCGGAGCCTCGTCTCGCCGACCGAGTTTCAGGGTGATAAGAGAGCAATACTCGCATCTCACCGTAGTGATAAAGATCTGTTTTGTTTTGGGGATTATCCCCAGCTGTTCCTCACACTCTTACTGCAGCGCTCAGAGCTCTCTCTCTCTCTCTCTCTCTCTCTCGCTCTCTCTCTCTCTCTCTCTCTCTCTCTCGCTCTCTCGCTGTCAACCTCTCTTCCTACTAACCCGCATACACATAGTATGCACAGAAGTTTATTTTGAAAAGACACTGTGAATGTAACGTGCAGAGACTTGACACTCCTTTGAAGGAATAATTCCCAAATTAAACAAAGGTTAGTGTCATCATTGAACGTGTGTGTGTGTGTGTGTGTGTGTGTGTGTGTGTGTGTGTGTGTGTGTAAATGATTAAAGGAGACGCTAGTGTACCGGAGTGTAGGTATGCATGGGCCTGTAGCTAAATGGATAATTGGATTACTGTGTCACAAGACCCATGTACTCGCCTCTGGCTAAGAGCAGCTGCATAACCAGCCCTAAGTACATTATCTAATCAATACTGCACTTCTAAAAAAGTGTGTCTATAATATCTAGAAAAGTTTTAAAAACAAATTAACCAAAAAACATCTAAAGCTTTTAAAGCCTTCAAAGCAGACTGTTTTTTGCTGAATACAATCTGTGCCATTTAGGAACAACAACATGTTGTCAGTGAGTTACTTCCACTCCCACAATAACTTTTCAAAGGGTCCGTCTTCACTAAATTCAGAAAAACTGTAGCAAATAAAAGCGTCTGATCTGCACAGCAAGACATCTCCACATATCAAGCAATTTTTTAGATCTTCTGAACAACACATGCAAGTAGTACTGCAGAAGCAGTAATATTAAGCAATGTCATATATTTGGCAGAACAAAATGTGAAACTCTGTAACTCTGATTATTGCCAAACATATTTTCTGCATGAATAAAAAATACAACAGGATCTAATTATTCTGAATCTGCTGAGGGAACCAATCACTCACTATGTTTCCCACTAAAGCTCTACTCACACAACAGCAAGCCACTATCAAACATCTCTATCCTTGTTCCTGCTTGTGCACACTAACTATGAACCCTGTATTTGCATTAGTAGAAGGATCCAATTAAACTTTTAACACAAAAAGGAAAGAAAAGAAAACAAGGCTAGCTGCCGCTGCCCCTGTCCAGGACCTTGTTAGAGAAAATTACCACCTACATCAATTAGTCACCTCATTAGCTGAGCCGGGGGCGCCTACAAAGCTCTGATTAGCTTGGTTGTTTTTCCATATTTGAATTGAGATGTGGAAAACAATTCAAAGGTCAGGAATCAGGCCGAGAAAAATTGAATGCAGGAAAGAAAGCTAATGTTGAAAAACGTTTTTAATCAGAATACTGTCACAGGATACATATTCTTTGGCATGGAGAAAACATAGCTTTGGACTGTAAGACATGCATTTTATAAATATTTAATTGACAGTTCATTTCTAACCAAAGAACTGTACAGTGTACAGAGATCACTACGTTTGTACGGGAATAACTCATTGGGCGTCATCCCGCAACAATTCCTTCAGGCTCTGGAATTCTCCCTTCGGTGTTGGCCTGCTTCAGGAATGCTACAGCAAGTTTGGGAATTTCATAAACATGTATTTAGAGCATAGACCATTTCTTTTGCTTTGTGAAATTGGCCACCTAGCTAAGTAGAGCTTAGGAAAGAGGACATCCCAGAATAGGCTGAGGTGGGAGCGGAAAAACCGCACAGGAATGACTGTTGAGAATACGGCCAA